CAGGGTCCCATACAATACACCATCCAGGGTCCCATACAATACACCATCCAGGGTCCCATACAATACACCATCCAGGGTCCCATACAATACACCATCCAGGGTCCCATACAATACACCATCCAGGGTCCCATACAATACACCATCCAGGGTCCCATACAATACACCATCCAGGGTCCCATACAATACACCATCCAGGGTCCCATACAATACACCATCCAGGGTCCCATACAATACACCATCCAGGGTCCCATACAATACACCATCTAGGGTCCCATACAATACACCATCCAGGGTCCCATACAATACACCATCTAGGGTCCCATACAATACACCATCTAGGGTCCCATACAATACACCATCCAGGGTCCCATACAATACACCATCTAGGGTCCCATACAATACACCATCTAGGGGTCCCATACAATACACCATCCAGGGTCCCATACAATACACCATCTAGGGTCCCATACAATACACCATCCAGGGTCCCATACAATACACCATCCAGGGTCCCATACAATACACCATCCAGGGTCCCATACAATACACCATCTAGGGTCCCATACAATACACCATCTAGGGGTCCCATACAATACACCATCCAGGGTCCCATACAATACACCATCCAGGGTCCCATACAATACACCATCCAGGGTCCCATACAATACACCATCCAGGGTCCCATACAATACACCATCCAGGGTCCCATACAATACACCATCCAGGGTCCCATACAATACACCATCCAGGGTCCCATACAATACACCATCCAGGGTCCCATACAATACACCATCCAGGGTCCCATACAATACACCATCCAGGGTCCCATACAATACACCATCTAGGGTCCCATACAATACACCATCCAGGGTCCCATACAATACACCATCCAGGGTCCCATACAATACACCATCTAGGGTCCCATACAATACACCATCTAGGGTCCCATACAATACACCATCCAGGGTCCCATACAATACACCATCTAGGGTCCCATACAATACACCATCTAGGGGTCCCATACAATACACCATCTAGGGGTCCCATACAATACACCATCTAGGGGTCCCATACAATCCAACCCATTACCAGCATTCATAAAATATATACTGGGACGACAGTGGCATCTTCAAGAGAGAACCTGAAATTTCTTCAAAAAGATGCCTTATTAGCCAAGTTTACCGTCTCGTTGGCTTTAGAGCTGCAAGCAGCAACAGCCTGACTGGTCAGTGCAGGCACGGATGGACAAGCAGAAGCGTTCGGAAGGTGTCTTCAGGTAATACCTGGTGAACACTTAACACCTGACATGTCTGTTCGTATTCGAACACATTTACCTGCTTGAGGCTTGATGTCTGGTTACCACATTTGAACATTGTTCATTGTTTACACTTGTGTTCGTGTGTTTGTCATCTAAATTACTGCATTGTCAAACAAGATATCACAATATATCTTGGTAACTACATCAGGAATATGAATCCTCAAGAATTTGATTCTATAATGAAGAGGATTTAATTCTCCTTGTTGACTGTGGCTGCCGGGGACCAGACGTTATCTTGAGGTTATCTTGAGATGATTTCGGGGCTTTAGTGTCCCCGCGGCCCGGTCCTCGACCAGGCTTCCACCCCTAGGAGGCAGCCCGTGACAGCTGACTAACACCCAGGTACCTATTTTACTGCTAGGTAACAGGGGCATAGGGTGAAAGAAACTCTGCCCCATTGTTTCTCGCCGGCGCCCGGGATCGAACCCGGGACCACAGGATCATAAGTCCAGTGTGCTGTCCGCTCGGCCGACCGGCTCCCACACTACCTGAAACTCTGTGTTCATGTTAGTCTCATCCTCCAGAAGCACAAGCGACGCGGTACCGGAGGTGACCTCAAGCAGGTATGACTGCCTAGTAAAGTAGTGACGTGAGAATTATTGAATCGTACGACTCTACGCTCCATACACTTTATTAAATAAAGAAAACGAGGATGTAAGAGTCGTGATTTAATATATTTGAAGAATGCCAGTATTGTACTGCGAAGATTCCGGTCATGGGAACACGTTTTGACATAACCGGACTTTTGGTAGGTATGCTGAGAGCTTCCTGCCTCGATTGATTGATTGATTGATGAAGGTTAAGCCACCCAAGTGGTGGCACGGGCATGAATAGCCCGTAATCCTACCTCGGGATGGTACTATAGCTATACAGGAGGACGGCACACGTGGTGGAAAACTAATAGTGGAGACGTGTGAGTAAGGAGAGATGCGAGGGAGGCAGCCAGGTGGTGTGGTAGCACCTGGTGCGCGCGCTGCTCCCTGCCTCCCCTCTCTCTCCCCTCCCTGCGTCCCCTCACTCCCCTCTCCTTGCGCCCCCCCCTCTCACTCCCCTCCCTGTGTCCCCCTCACACGAGCCCTCTTGCGTGCCCTCAGTGTCCGCGCGACCACCGTCACCACTCCGACACTGTCGCGTGCTCCCGCGTCCACCGTGTTCCCGCCTTGTGCAAGCGCCTTTGCGACCCGTTGTCCGCGCCTACTGTTGCAGGTATACCTCGGAACCGCAGGCCACGCGGCCGTCACATAGCGGCCGCAGGCAGCAGCGCTCCCGTCGCCGCAGGTTACTGTGTCTTCCTTAACACCTGCGGAACAAGTGGCAAGAGTGACGGCGTGGTGTCCCCTCCACGAACGGGACTGTTATATCCCATTAGTGTTGGTGGACAGTTATGGGGTCGACCACACTCTTCATTTCACGCGCCTCTCCGCACGTCTGCCACAGCGTGGTGTAAAGAGCTGACATTACTCTTACTGTGCGCCTACTTATGAAAACAAAATTACAAGATATAGCTTGAGCAGCTACAGCATGAGTGATGCCATCATGTGTGTGTGTGTCCAGCATCCAGTAAGATAACTCCCGCTTGGGTGAGATGCTGAGCTATACGATAACTCGAGTTATCGTACACGAGAGCGGCAGTAACTGTTTACAGTGATTAAAGCTGGCTTAAAACGTGAACTGAAAAGCTTGAGTTTCAGGGGTGTGGCGTGCTCGTCGCGGGCACCGTCACGGGCACCGTCACGGGCACCGTCACGGGCAGCGTCACCAGCAACGTCACCGGCAGCGTCACCGGCAGCGTCACCGGCAACACGAACCTTGTGTGACGTACATGTCTTTACTGAATCATTATGTTTTGAACGGTGTTCTATGGCGGTTTTGAGGGTACACTGTGTTGGGTGGGTGGAGAGGGGGAAGGGGCTTGTAGGTCCACCTGCTTCACGGTGGAACTGGTCGACGGTGGACGACCAGCTGTGACTGGTGGTGACGGGAGCTAATGGACGGTAAAGGCCGGCGTTAATGGGTACCAGCGGAGAAAAATATAAGCTGTGACTGATAGTAATAGACATTAGTCAACACGTGAGAGGATAGATCAAGCATATTTATTGCATATGTAATTTAACACACTCAAAAATCATGGTTTCTCGAGGTCATATTGACCACGTATATTGATGACCAGTAGACATGAGTATACATGCCACGATTCAGTATACATGTGTGTGCATGTGTTTCAGAGGTTTGTCAACGGTTGATTACCTGTGTTAATCCCACTTTATTATCAAGGGTCCATTACAGGTATTGGATATAGAAACGATAGAATGATTGCTTATGTACAAGTATAGCTTTGAACCTGCGTGGGGCCAGGGAGGAGGGAGTGTTAAAAGGAGTACACTGTAAGTCTATTACAGTACACTGTAAGACTACTACATGTACTACTACACTTTAAAGTGTAAAGTACATTACATGTGTGGTGTGTAGAGACGCGACTCCGGACCATGTTAATGTGCTGGCCAGGATGCACTGACTCCACACACACCAAGTGAAGTGTTCCGTGTGACTTCGTGTGTTCCGGTGGTCCTGTGACTTCGTTGACTATTTTTTCCTGTGACTTCATCAATCGTGCTGCTCTCTTGACCCCTGTTTATCGCTCTTTCCCTGTGATGTCATGTATCGTCCTGTCCTGTGGGGCTCATTTATTTTCCTGTGACTTCATTTTATCTCTGTGACGTGTGACTCGTCTATTTAAATATTCCTTTTGACGTCAATTATTACTAGCCCCGAAACGTCATTTATCATTAGGTCTGTGACGTCATTTATTGTTATAACTAAATTACTCGCCTATAATTGTAACGAGAAGTAATCATTCCAGTGATTATATATATATATATATATATATATATATATATATATATATATATATATATATATATATATATATATATATATATATATATATATATATATATATATATATATATATATATATATATATATATATATATATATATGCAACAATGATCACAAAAACACTGATCCAAGTATGCAGAATAACCACATATGAAAAATAGAAAATGCTTAACGCGTTTTCGGCTAATTCGCCTTCATCAGAGCAAAGTAGAATGATTCTACTTTGCTCTGATGAAGGCGAATTAGCCGAAAACGCGTTAAGCATTTTCTATTTTTCATATGTGGTTATTCTGCATATATATATATATATATATATATATATATATATATATATATATATATATATATATATATATATATTATATATATATATATATATATATATATATATATATATATATATATCCGCCTCATGTTACTTATGTAGACTGTCAGGTTACTGACAGTCATCAGTAACCTTGACTGCCTTGACGCCTGGCCATTTAGTTATTCAGTGACCTAAGTTAACCTCAAACACCCCCAAGTGGACCTAAGTTGGCCTCAAACACCACCAAGTGGACCTAAGTTGGCCTCAAACACCCCCAAGTGGACCTAAGTTGGCCTCAAACTCCACCAAGTGGACCTAAGTTGGCCTCAAACTCCACCAAAGTGGACCTAAGTTGGCCTCAAACTCCACCAAGTGGACCTAAGTTGGCCTCAAACGCCACCAAAGTGGACCTAAGTTGGCCTCAAACTCCACCAAGTGGACCTAAGTTGGCCTCAAACACCACCAAGTGGACCTAAGTTGGCCTCAAACACCCCCAAGTGGACCTAAGTTGGCCTCAAACTCCACCAAGTGGACCTAAGTTGGCCTCAAACGCCACCAAAGTGGACCTAAGTTGGCCTCAAACTCCACCAAGTGGACCTAAGTTGGCCTCAAACGCCACCAAGTGATGTTGCATTATATGACATCAGCTGACCTATTACCGATTCATGTGACCTAAGAAGAACCTTTACACAATCGTGCGAATTAAGCTAACCTTTGACTCTATAACCCTATAACCTATGATATGACCTTGACCCCTGCTGTGTGTGTGTATGCCCCTTCGGCCCGTCGCTTGGCGGCGCCACACGTTTCCGAACTACATTTCTATGCTCTATAGAGTTCATTTTACCACATTTTAAACTTCAAGTCTCCTCAGCAGAGTGTGGCAGAATAATATTGTGCGTGTATTAATTTGGGACGCCAGCAGCAACAGTCTAATGAGTCCCTGGTTGTAAGGAACGATTGGTGGAGTGTGATCTGGCCGGGGGGAATAAATAAGGAATAGAGAATAACTTAACTAGTCTGAGTACCTTACTCGAGGCAGTTCGTGCTGTTAACGGCGTTCAACAGCCTGGTTGACCACTGACATCGAGGGTTATTAGGCCCCCTGGGTCTTCAGAACCATCTGCGAATTAACCTCAGGGTAGGACAATGGGGTCATTAGCTCAGCCCTGGTAACCTCCAGTGACCTGTAACTCTGCCAGGTGACCCCAGGTAACCTGTAACGCTGCCAGGTGACCCCAGGTAACCTGTAACGCTGCCAGGTGACCCCAGGTAACCTGTAACGCTGCCAGGTGACCCCTGGTAACCTGTAACGCTGCCAGGTGACCCCTGGTAACCTGTAACTCTGCCAGGTGACCCCAGGTAACCTGTAACGCTGCCAGGTGACCCCTGGTAACCTGTAACTCTGCCAGGTGACCCCAGGTAACCTGTAACGCTGCCAGGTGACCCCAGGTAACCTGTAACGCTGCCAGATGACCCCAGGTAACCTGTAACGCTGCCAGGTGACCCCAGGTAACCTGTAACGCTGCCAGGTGACCCCAGGTAACCTGTAACGCTGCCAGGTGACCCCAGGTAACCTGTAACGCTGCCAGGTGACCCCAGGTAACCTGTAACGCTGCCAGGTGACCCCAGGTAACCTGTAACGCTGCCAGGTGACCCCAGGTAACCTGTAACGCTGCCAGGTGACCCCAGGTAACCTGTAACGCTGCCAGGTGACCCCAGGTAACCTGTAACGCTGCCAGGTGACCCCAGGTAACCTGTAACGCTGCCAGGTGACCCCAGGTAACCTGTAACACTGCCAGGTGACCCCAGGTAACCTGTAACTGCCAGGTGACCCCAGGTAACCTGTAACTGCCAGGTGACCCCAGGTAACCTGTAACTGCCAGGTGACCCCAGGTAACCTGTAACTGCCAGGTGACCCCAGGTAACCTGTAACGCTGCCAGGTGACCCCAGGTAACCTGTAACGCTGCCAGGTGACCCCAGGTAACCTGTAACGCTGCCAGGTGACCCCAGGTAACCTGTAACGCTGCCAGGTGACCCCAGGTAACCTGTAACGCTGCCAGGTGACCCCAGGTAACCTGTAACGCTGCCAGGTGACCCCAGGTAACCTGTAACGCTGCCAGGTGACCCCAGGTAACCTGTAACGCTGCCAGGTGACCCCAGGTAACCTGTAACGCTGCCAGGTGACCCCAGGTAACCTGTAACACTGCCAGGTGACCCCAGGTAACCTGTAACGCTGCCAGGTGACCCCAGGTAACCTGTAACACTGCCAGGTGACCCCAGGTAACCTGTAACGCTGCCAGGTGACCCCAGGTAACCTGTAACGCTGCCAGGTGACCCCAGGTAACCTGTAACACTGCCAGGTGACCCCAGGTAACCTGTAACTGCCAGGTGACCCCAGGTAACCTGTAACACTGCCAGGTGACCCCAGGTAACCTGTAACTGCCAGGTGACCCCAGGTAACCTGTAACTGCCAGGTGACCCCAGGTAACCTGTAACGCTGCCAGGTGACCCCAGGTAACCTGTAACACTGCCAGGTGACCCCAGGTAACCTGTAACGCTGCCAGGTGACCCCAGGTAACCTGTAACGCTGCCAGGTGACCCCAGGTAACCTGTAACACTGCCAGGTGACCCCAGGTAACCTGTAACGCTGCCAGGTGACCCCAGGTAACCTGTAACACTGCCAGGTGACCCAGGTAACCTGTAACTGCCAGGTGACCCCAGGTACCCTCGTCGTGCCTACAGGTGGCGTGGTGATATGACATTATTAAAAGAATCCTTACTACAGCCGGTAGTCCAGCAGAGAGAGAGCCCCGTTTAGCCCTCTCTTGATTTTTTTTTCCATTTTTAATCATCTCAGGAATCGACAAATGGGATGTTGATTTAAGGCACGGTAAAGTTGATAATATCTTGTGTTCGCCAATGTGTGCCGTATGGCGTGCTGTGGCAAGGATCAGTTTAGCTTGCTTATGTCAATATTTTGGTTCCCTGTGAATAATG